CTAGACGTACACTTATGTCACTGTTTTTTGTTCAAATGCGTAGACTAACAAATGATACGATTTTAAAATTTCTCTTGAATTGCAAAATCACATAAATGTTAAATCGAATAGTTTGCGAAGATTAAGCTCAGAAATTAATATTTCTAGTGTTACGGCTAAATTGTTTTTACTGGCGATGATCCAACAAAAATCTCATCCACATGTTCGCGATGATACAATATTTATTAAAATCATAGTTGATGTTGGTGATATGTCAAAAACTCTGATGTATTATCAACAATTATTGATTAAAAAAGAAGAAGAAGCATTATTGCTTTCACAACAATCAATTGAAACTGACCGTGGCCATGATAATTCCAACAGTCGACAAAGTTTTACATGAAATATATTTTCTAGTTATTATCTGTTCTAATCAAGAGTTCTCTTATTAGTTGCCGATAATTTAGACTTTGATTTGTTTACAAGTATTTTTACATTTGATTGTTTAATTACATCATTAGAGTTGCGAAAATCAGTAACATGAATTACAGACATTTTACTTCGTATTCTCATAGTAGTCCTACTGTATCAATGAACAAGTCTAAAAGCATTTCATATTTTCAAACGATAGATACATCGTTTTTATGACTTTTTGAGATTAAGAAAAGTTCGCTATCATCTTACACTAGGCAGTACTTGCTGTCTGAAAATGTGCATATTTTGACTTTTTGATTTAGTATTGACATTTTTAAATGATTCTGATTGACTTCTTTCAGTCGCTAGTTATGCATGCTTTAATTTTGTGAATTTAGCAAGCAAAAATTTCAGAATACTTCTAAATTGCTATACGTGTATTGTATCATATATCATTTTTTAGATTAGTCTCATGAGAATATGAATATTTTTGAAGTACAAATTCAAATCCGTAAGCTAAATTTCTTCTTTCACTTGTTTTCAGTGAGTGATAAAATCAAGTATCGGATCGCAGTATAAGCTTATTGATTTGATTTATATTTCAATTTCCAAGAGATGTCAGATATTTAAAAAAATGGTAGTTTCTTCTGACAATGAATAGTTGAAAGATCGAGTATAGACTTTTGTCTACAGAAACCACCTTGAAATCGCAGAAAAAATTAGGTCATTCTGAGCTGAAAAAGGATTGATATTTAAATTATTGTATATCACTTACTTTTTGGAGTTATTCTGTACAACAAGTATGAGAACTGACAGAATTTTTCAATATTTCATGACTACTTTTATGCAGTATATTATATCTCATCTCTTCAATTTAAGCGACTCAAGTTAAATTTTGATTCTGCACAAAAGCATAAAAAAAGATTCTAAAATGAAGAGTAAACTGGGTCCGAAAAATGTTTAACATTGCTTTTCACCTAGTGAAAACCCTACCCTATTGAAAAACAATCTTTGAAGCTATCTTACTGTCTTTCCTCCGTGAAAATTTTTGTCTCAGAGAAGCTAAAACTTCATCCTGAAAATAATAGTAGAGATAGTTCTTGTGAAAAAGAAAAAAGATTTCGAGCCCCCTTCGTGACTGAGGGATAAGTACAGGAATGACGAAAATTTTTGAAAGAAATTGTTTTTCTCATAACTCAATAGTAATCGTTTCAAACAATAAAAGGCTGAAAATCTGATCACAACTATACATTGAAACCCTAACAAAATTGATTATTTTACGGTAGAGTTCAGTTCTTGATGTGTATCTGCAACGCATTTAGCTCAAAATGTAGCGTGAAAGTTGATTGCTTATCGTCATATATAAAGACAAATGTTACGGTTACAATATACGAATGTAATCAGATTTTTGATCGTTATTGTTTGAGGCCATTACTATTGAATTATGAGAAAAAAATCGTGCATGTCGGCGCACACTTCTATTCATTGCTACTTCTTACCCATTGTCATTATCTTTATTCAAAAAACTTGAAATTCATATAGTTTTCGAAGATCTTATGATCAAAGTGAGAACTAATCAGAAGCATCTGAGACTTGTAAAATTTCATAAAGTAAATCTTTGATAATAGAAAGCGTTTATTTTCATTGAAAATGCATTAGCAGCGATAGGAAACTGTTTTTTGAAAGAAATTTTATTCAGAAATTTAGTTCTTCCATACCCAGATGAATGAATCTCATAACGAATTCGATCGGATCTGATTCTAGGAATGATTCACCTGGGGATATGCGTGAGAGTATGTGAGCTAGAACAGATCTGCAAGTGAATTCGGTTGCGGAAATACTTTGTTTGTGTCTGCTAAGTACAAAAGGAAAAGTAAGTACTTCTTAAAGTAAATCATATCTTTTGCATGGTTATATTCATCAAGATGCTAACCATTCCATGGATAATGAAGTTCTCTATCCAACACAAGCTGGGGAGTAAATCAGAACTGAAAATACTCGAATATCGTACTAGCTTTACTTGTCTGTTTTTCCTGTTTAAATCTACTGCTAGCGTGTTTATCATCTGCAATGTTTTACTTTTGATAAGTGCGCAGTAGAGACTAAATCAAATAAACTAGAAAAAATGAATGAAGATAAAAACAGTAAAATGTTGGTATCTTCCAAAAGCAGCATACAAGTTACTCAAGAAAATAACAAACAGTCTCTCAATATATAAAACTTGTTAAAGCCAACACGAAAAGTTCCATTGAAACTTTTACGACTATTGTTGGTTGACACAATTTGACTTTGGTGGGTAATTTATCAAGATTATCGATAGAGTTTATCTAATATTTGGATATCAGGAATATCTTATACACTCTTGTTAGATGTTCATCTTTCTTTACGGCATTGTGTTGTGTGTAATTTACAGCATTACTTAGCTATTTTTGCAAGCGTGAGTATTGTTATACAAACGATATGATAATTTTGAGACTTCTTGAAGAGATCAATCGCTTTTTCTTACAATGAAGGTGTTTGTATTGTAAGTTGAAAGGACTAGATATTTTTACATCAAAAGAAAGCTCTCACCGTCAAACTAAAAAGGGTAAAATATTAGCTCCCCTTAGCTTGTCTAGAGGGAGATATTCGATTTTTCTCCATAGGACTGGCTTTCCCAGCAACATCATATTTTCGAATTTGGACCTGAAACGTTGTATGCATGAAGATCTCAATGAGACTATGCTGATAAAACAATCTGGGTAATGATCTATCGCTGCACTTTAAAAAGTCGTCATTAAACCCTTGTCGCGTTTATTAGTCGAAAGGTTTATGACGCCATGGGTTTATGAAAACTGAAGGGGTATATGATGGGTACATAGGAATTCATTATTCTACGATTTTAAGATAAGACTATATCCTTAACGGATGATAGTAGATTATTGCTCGCTTTCAAGGTAGAGGTATTTTATTCTTCGTTATCGGGTTTACTATTTTACTTTCTCGTTGAAAGGGTACACACTCTGCCTTTCTGGGTAGAGTAAGCTACCCTTTCTCAGAAACAGTTCATTATTCTACGCGTAAGGGTAGATTCTGCTACCATTTCCTGCTAAGGGTTTAGTATTTCACATTCAACAGTTGATTCATCTATATCCTAATAAAAAAGGGTTTAGTACTGTACGTGAATGCTCGATTCTATGCCTCTTCATTGACAGGTTCTTTTATTCTACTGACAATTATCGTCTTATCTACCTTAGCATCTCAAGGATTAGTTTTATCGTCGGTTGATAGTTGATTCAATTTCTCTTTTGTTGAAAGAGGTTCATTTTTTATCGTACAGGAGTTGATATTTCCGCTCTTTCGTCGAAAGAGTTTATCATTCTACGTAGGGGGATCGATTGTTTTACTGTTTGATCGGAAAGGTTTATTACTCTACGCACAGGGGTTGATTATTTTACCTTTGCGCCAAAAATGGTTTCTTAGGGTGTCGGTGTGAGGATCTGTGCCTGGTTAATATTATTTTATACAGTCACCCACGCGCTAACTTGATGAAAAGAAATAGTAAGATGCCCATCGCTTTTGTTTTCCACTGGCCACAACCGAAAGGAAAATATGAATCATTTATTTGGTAAACTTGCGGCGTACATGAAACAATGTTTTGATATGCAAACATAAGAAATAGCGAAATTAGAGTCACACTTCATTGACTCAGGTAAATATTTTATGTTAGAAACAAAGAAAAAATATGTAACGCCTATATATATATACAAAGTAATACCTCTTGCAGACTCACATTATAAAAATAAGCTTTTTGATATCGGCTGGTAAGTAGTCTTATTCGATCATCGATATTTTTACATTAGCCATGCGTTTGATTTTTACAATATAGCAGTGTAGGGAATAATGACAGCAAAAATGAGGAAAGATAAACATGCATTTTTGTGTTTAATATGAAGATATTGAAAAAACTGACACAGAAAGCGTTACAGAGGCCCCGCTGTAACTTAAATCAATTCACAAAATAGAAATTTATGTTTCTATTTAACCAATCAACAACAAATATCCTATTTTCGATTCCTAATCTGAATCT